GAGGAGGGTGGCTACGGCCGTGGCCTCTCGCTAGCCGTGCCTCTCCTGTCCCCCCAGGCTAACCCAGCGCTACGTGATGGCTTTTGTCCCTGCGCTGCCGGTGAGTCCCTGTGGGCACCCCGGATGCTGGCCGTGCACGGGGACTGGCCATCCTGCTCCTGTTTTCTGCTGCAGCAGCACAGCTTCATCTCATCCACCAACTTCCTTTTCAGGCGGTTTTTCTGTATAACCTGGAGACAAGATACCTGCAGAACCAGGTGGGTCTTGCAGCCCTTGCAGCTACAGAGGGTCAGCCCTGTCACAGGGCTCCGTCACCTCTGCACCCAGGATATCATGCTCACCCTTCCCTTGGGCGAGGCAGCATTAGTCCCCACCACTGCCTGGGTGCCCTGGAGCAGCTCTGACTCTGGTGATCAGCCCACCCCGCAGCCAGTGGTATCCATCTGCCTGATGGACCACTCTTCATACTTCTCCACATCAGGGATCTACCTCCAACACGCTCCTTTTCCAAGCAGGCAACTTCACCATTGGTTTATATTTTTGGCTGGAAAGCTGCTGAGCAGGGGGCTGGCAGAGACCCACGCACCCCTCCTGAAGCCCTGGTGGAGGTGCTGCAGCCCCTCTCTGCTCTGCTTTGCAGATGATCATGTGGCCGCTGGTGCTGAGCGGGGTCGTCGGCAACATCGTCAACGTGATCGCCAACTGTGTCTTCCTCTATGTCTTCCACTGGGGCATCACGTGAGTAGCACCCACGGCCCACGGGCAGGAAAACGGGCACTTGGCAACGGCCAGGGACTTTTCAGGGACGCTGGCACCACCAGGTGTGGCCGAACATCCAGGATGGGGGGTGGCACGGCGTGCTTGGGCACCACGATGACCTCCCTCGTTCCCTTTGCAGGGGCTCTGCCTGCGCCAACACCGCGGCTCAGTACTCACAAGCCATTTTCCTGTTCCTGTATATTATAGGCAAGAAACTCCACGTGAAGACCTGGGGAGGTAAGGGCACCTCCCAGCTCCCTCAGCTCCTGCTTTACGTGAGGGTTTGTGAAGCTCCCACCACGTCTATCAAGTGAATTCTGTTAGTCCTGGTGGTGAAATATTAATCTCAGCCCCGGGAACGCGGCGCTGCTTCAGTGGCAGCACGTCACGCGTGAGCCTCGGCAGAACCCCGTGCCGGGCAGCAAACATTAATTCTGGAGAAGTGAAACTTTCTGCTGAGGCTTGGTAGGGTTCAGCCCCAAAGCCGGATGAGCACGGACGTAAGCACGAGGCTGTCCTCAGGCACGCTGCTCTGGGAGGGATGAGCTGAGGGTTGCACCGCTCTGTAGCCCACAGGATGGCATCAGCAGAGCCTGTACCTGCAGCCCTCTACTGCTGGAGGTCCTATGGAGCTGAGGAGCATTGCCCTGGTGGCTCTGCAAACAGAATTGCACCTCCAGCTGCCTCGGGTGCTCTCAAGGGTGTAACGTGGCTGGTCTGATCATCCTTCAGTGACGTTTCTCCTCTCTGCAGGCTGGTCCAGCGAGTGCCTGCTGGAGTGGGACAGCTACACCTCCCTGGCTATCCCCAGCATGCTCATGATGTGCATCGAGTGGTGGACCTACGAAATTGGGAGCTTCTTGATAGGTCAGTGGAGAGGGGGAGCTGCAAGGAGGTGGATGCAGCGTGAGCCAGAGCAGTGTCTGCAGCAGTCACAGGCTGAGAGCAGCTCCCCACCGGGCGCTCACACCCAGCACTGATCCCTCCCCTCCCCAGGCCTGCTGAGTGTCGTCGAGCTCTCTGCCCAGTCCATCATCTACGAGGTGTCTGTTGTTGCTTTCATGGTAAGGGCTGGGGGTTATTATTTCAGATCAGGGCTGCCCAGGGACAGACTCCCAGCAAAAATCAGCTCCAGCAAATCTTGCTCTTCACCCTCTGTACTTCAGCCTCTCCCCGCTCCTGCCTGTCCCTCCTATGGAGATGCTTTAAATGAAACCCTGAGCTCCATCCCCCCTCTCTGCCGGGTGGTTATTCCGCTGTTGCTGATGGTTGTGGTGGGCCCATAACCCAGACCCACGGGTGAGCCTCAGCCCTGTGGTTGCAGGTGCCCCTGGGGCTCGGCACGGCTGCCAGCGTGCAGGTGGGGAACGCGCTGGGTGCCGGCGACGTCGAGACGGCCAAGAGATCCTCCTCCACCAGCCTGCTCTGCACAGGTCAGGCCAGGCAGCCTCTGCCCGGCTCCTTCCAGGCACAGCCAGGGCAGGGAGCGTTTGCAGTCCTCTGCCCGTGACATCCCTCCACGTCCTCTTCTCCCCCTGCTCCTGAGCTTCCCGCCACGGCCAGGCTGGGCTCAGCACTTTGCTGGGTTTTTCAGGGTGTTTTTGCGTCGCGGTGGGGGCTGTTCTAGCTGGCACGAAGGATGTGATGGGATACATCTTCACCGACGACAAGTGAGTGTCCTTGGCTCCCAGCCTCTGTGTGTGGAGGTTAGTTCCCAAAAAGAATTGTTGGCTCTTCTCTTTCCCCAGGGAGATTGTTGACTTGGTGGCCTGGGTCACACCTGTCTACGTTGTCTTCCACTTGTTTGAAGCCATGTGTGTAAGTCCTGGGGGATGCTGCTGTTTTAAATAGGGGACATGGTGCTGAGCAGCAGCATTGCAGGTCAGTCAGTTGAAGGTCTCTGGGGCTGTGGGTGAGCACTGGCACATGCAGTGGGACCCTGCACAGCTCAGGGGGTCACACCTAGAAAACACCAAGTCCATGGAGAGACAATGACCCACAGGACTGGGCAGGGACACAGAAATAACCGGGCAGGGGTGGGGAGCATCACCAAGCTGGTTCATCACCCCCCAGGCAGCAGAACCCCAAATTTGTCCAAGGCAATGCTCCTGGCCCCAGCCCCTCTCCCTCTCCCTGGCAGGGTGCCTGCAGCGGGGTGCTCAGAGGCATAGGCAAGCAGAAATTCGGCGCCATCCTCAACGCTGTGTGCTACTATGGTGTGGGCCTGCCCCTGGCAGCCGTGCTGCTCTTCGTGGCCAGGATCGGCGTCATAGGTACCGACCCCGGGCACAGAGCCCTGCGTGCCCCCAGGCCCCCTGCGGCTGCCCCCAGCTCCACCAGTGCCTCACCACGATCCTCCCACCTGGGGACTGGGCACACTGGAGTGGACTGGGACAGCCCCTGCAACCACTGGGAGCTTTTAACTGTACTGGGAAAAAGTAACTGCTGCCAGCTCTGGGGCAGACCCACAGCAGGCACCCACAGCCACCCCATCCCCACCTCCCCACTGACCTCGGTGGCATTTCCTTGACTCTGGCCCGAGGTGCCCTCAGGGCTGGCTTTGCCCCGGCTGTGTTCCCCGGCTGAGGCCAGCTCCCTCTGCAGGCCTGTGGCTCAGCATGCTCGCCTGTGTCTCCATCCTCTGTACCTGCTTCATCACCTACATCTCCCGCATGGACTGGAGGAAGGCAGCCGAGGAGGTAACCCGTGCACCCACGGCACCGCACCCTGCCGGCACCCCGGTGGGAAGGGACAGCACCACAGGCTCAGTCTCACAGGCCAGGGCTGCCTAGGGCTGTCCTGCAGTGCCCCCAGCAAAACCCAGTGCTCCCACAATGGCAGCCCCAGCCCTGTCTTCAGCTCCTCTCACATGTGCACTCAATGGCCTCAAGCTTTCCCTCTGCACCTTGTGCCACCCTTGATCTGGGACATGAGGCACAAAGCAGATAGGGTGGCTGAGGCTCCCTCAACCCTGCAGCCCTGAGCATCACCTCATGCCCCAGCAGCTCCCAGGTTTCCACCAGCCAACACCTCTCCTTTCAGGCGTCTTTCAGCTGCCATTTCCAGCCAGAAGAACCCCGTGAGAGGTGACGCGGTGGCTTTGCACCACCAGTTCAACCCATGGTGTTCCCTCCCCCAGGCTCAGCGCCGCGCAGGAGTGACCCAGCCACTGCCAGAGGAGCAGAACCCAGGCCCTGAACCTGGCTGCAAGGCTCTTCCCTCTGGTGTGGGGCCAGCCCCACCACCCCACTCTTTTTTTACGGTGGTGCGGGGCTGCATAGGTATGGCCAGGAGTGCGTGCAGCGGTGGGCTTGGGTCCAGGAAGGGTCCCCAAGGATTCACATAAACCAGGAACAAGCCCACAAAAGAGGGGTGCAGTGCAGTACTGGTGCTGGCCTCAGTTACTGGGAAAACAGGAATTGCCAGGGTGGGCTTGGGAGGGTGACGAAGGCTGGTGGGGGGACACCCTGGAGGGACGGGGCACCCTGGGCAGCTCTCACCTCGTAGACACCAGATCCCACTGAAGCTCCATCACGGTCTGGAGAGCTCCACGCTCTGGGCTGCTCCTAACACGCTTTCAGACCTCGGACAAAACCCTCCCAGGAAACCCCCC